TCGTCATTAACGAGAACTCTAAACGGAAGTTACAGTCTTACTGACGTTCAGTTTGGAGCGGTCGTCATTAACGAGAACTCTAAACGGAAGTTACAGTCTTACTGACCTTCAGTTTGGAGCGGTCGTCATTAACGAGAACTCTGACTGTAAGTTACAGTCTTACTGACGTTCAGTTTGGAGCGGTCGTCATTAACGAGAACTCTGACTGTAAGTTACAGTCTTACTGACGTTCAGTTTGGAGCGGTCGTCATTAACGAGAACTCCGACTGTAAGTTACAGTCTTACTGACGTTCAGTTTGGAGCGGTCGTCATTAACGAGAACTCTGAACTGTAAGTTACAGTCTTACTGACGTTCAGTTTGGAGCGGTCGTCATTAACGAGAACTCTAAACGGAAGTTACAGTCTTACTGACGTTGGGTTTCGAGCGTTCATTGTTAATGAGATTAAACGGGATTGGGGGGGTGACGGGGGGGGTGACTTTGTGACTCTGTGTTCCTGTGTGATTGAATAGATTCGATCTCAGCCTCCTGTCCAGAGAACAGCAGGAGAGAAGGAAGATAAATGAGATGAAGAGAAAGCAAAAAAGACAAAAGATGGCGAGGAGAAGGGGCAGAAAAAGACAGAAAATATGAAAGAAACATGAGAGGAGAAAAGAAAAGAATGGAAAGATGAAAAAAATATGAGAAATAGATAAGACAGAAAAGAAGAGATAACAGATGAAGGTCAAGTGAAAAAAAAAGATGAAAGCAAGAAGAGAGAGAAAGATGTCGGGGAAATAGAATAAGAGACGATGGCGGTGACAAGGAAAACGACAAAAAGGCTGGAGAGAGGTAAGAAAGAAGAAAAGATGAAAGAGAAAGGCAGAAATAAAAAGACAGACAACGAAAGGCAACAGAGGGAGGGGTGCAGAGTCTCTAGAACAGGTTCAGCGCTCATCAGCCATGATTCTACAGTCCGGAACTGTTCTGGAGGAATGGAACACCGTTCTTCTAAAAGATGTTCCCTCAGGTGGTGCTGTGTCGAGGGTGGTGGAGAATGCGGGTAAATAACCTCCCGTAGTTGTTCAGCTGGGATGAATCTGGTGACTGTGATGGTCGTAGCAGACGATTACATCACTTTCTGTCCTTCACACAGATCTAAATGCAGAGGTTACTCTACTCCACTTGACCCCACTCACTTTTGGTACCAGCTACTTCGTTTTCCACTGCAGATATAGCGCCCCCTCACTGTAGCTGGTCGTCATAGCGATGCTGCAGAAAATGCCCCGATGTGAAGGAAAAACTACATTGGAGTTCAGACAACGAGACGACTCTGGCTGCTCAAAGTGACGCAAGAGGGTAAAACAAGTTCCACTATTGCCTTTCAGACAATTAATAACCTCAGGAATGCAGGCGTTCATATCACTTCAGCTCAGAACAGAAAGATAGTCACTTTATCTTTGTCATAGTTGCCAAGATTGAAATTCGAAGATGTGTCCAGACAGCTGGAGAACCAAACACACAACAATGTGGGAGTCCAGACTAAATAAAGATAAAAAATACTTTAACCAAAGCGCTAGATTAGCCGTGTTAGCTGGAGATGCTGAAACAGCTCGCTCACAATAAACTAGTTAAAGCAGCAAAGAGCTAAACGCGCATATCGTCGTCAGGGTCCGTAGTGACTGTAAACATTTGTATTCATAGGCTCTCAGCTGGTTCCCTGATACGTTTAATCTGCAGCGAGAAACTGTCAAATACTTAAAAAGTCATGAGGCTGAAGTCGCTTCTTGTTCCAATTTTCCCGTTCCACCTTAAATGGTGCAGCAGTTACATTCTGGCAGCACAGGCACCATTTAAGGTGGAACCACCGGCACCAGTGAATGAACACCTGCTCCCCGCTGAGCTCTCGCTGCTCAGATACTGACAGCTTTAGAGGGAGGAAATGAAAACTGTTCCTCTGAAAGCGGCTGCAGCAGCAACTTTACAGCACAAACCGCTTTCAGTGTAACGTCAGTCAGCAGCGCTGAGACACTGACACAGAGGTTCTTTTACTCCTATGACAGTTTATTCCTTTATTATTGATACAAACTTATTTTCCTCTGTTCATCATCAGCTGACAAACCCCTGAAACTGAGATGAGGCTGTCTTTGCTTCAAGCTCAAACACTTCAGTGAGCTGTTCACACTCAACTCGTCATGGTTGCCATTGTTATTGCTTTAGCGGAAGAAGCGTCACCTGCAACGAGAACTTCCGGCAAAAAAAAAAATAGTACCAGGTACCAGGTTTGCCTGATGGAGAACCAAAGATGCGAGTCGCGTCGAGTCGAGTCGGTACCATGCAGTGGTACAGTCACTGTTAATGCTGAAACAGAGGCGGGTTCAGGTGAGCAGTCTTTGATAGTGAACTCTCGGAGTCACTCAGATCTCCTCTGGATCATCTTGGCCCAAAATCGGGGTCAACTGGACCTGCTCAGTGTTTTTATACCCGACACAGAGCTATTAGGATGTTAATTGCTTAATTGTATTATGCAGTACATCTGTCTGGATACGTAAACACACACACACACACACACACACACACACACATATGTATATTACTCCATTGTTATCACTATTAGTGTAAAGCACTTATTTCATTGTTTTGGTAACAGTTGTTCTTACAGTTCATCCAATAAAGTCAATTCAGTCAGGGAGAGAGGGAGGATGAGGATGAGCCTGAGGCTGTTAGAGAGAGAGAGAGGGAGAGAGAGAGAGAGAGAGAGGGAGAGAGGGAGAGAGAGAGGACAGAAGAGATCTGCGTGACCATGAGGCTCCTTCACACTCTGGACTTTCCGGACTTGCGCTGTTGGATTTATTAATGATTTATTAATGATTTATTAATGACAGCAGTGGTTGGAGCTAATGCTAATGCTAGCATCGTCACGTTTGTCTGGATTTCCTTCATTTATTCCACGAGGACGTGACTGACCGATGGGAGGAACTCCTCTATTCCTCCCTCTTTCTTCCGTTCTCTTTCTTCTTGTCTCTCGTTCTGTTCCCTCTGTTCCTTTTCTCCTTCTCTCTTTTCTTGCTCTGTCTTTTTTTTTACACTCTCACTTTCCTCTCCCTTTCTTTTCTCTGTTGCTTTTCCCTTTTGTTTCACTCTTTCTTTTTTCTCCCCTTCGTCTTTTTCTTCTTTTCCTTCTTTTCTTTTCTTTTTTCCCCTCACATTCCTTTCCTTTCTTTCTTCTCTTGTTTTCTATCTTTCTCTTTTTCTCAGTTCAGATCTCTCTCTCTTCTCTCTTTGCAATCAGCTGAGAGTGTGAATGAGTGTGTATAAGTGTGAATGAGTGTGTATAAGTGTGTATAAGTGTGTATGAGTGTGTATGAGTGTGTATAAGTGTGTATGAGTGTGTATGAGAGTAAATGAGAGTGAAATGAGTGTGAATGAGTGTGAATGAGTGTGTGATGGAAGGTTCCGGTAACGGTTTCGGTTCTGGTTGGTGTGAGGACTATGACAACGCGTCTGCTGTGGATCATTATCTCTTCAGCCGCTCTGAACTGATCGTCGTCACGACACTGTGTGCGCCGCTGCTACTGCTGGGGCTGCTGGGTAATATTCTCACCATCCTGGTGGTGTGGCTCCGCCCCCAGATGAGAAGCACCACCTACCTGTACCTGAGCAGCATGGCCGTGTCCGATATTCTAATGCTGGTACTGATGCCCCTCGACCTCTACAAGGTACTTACGGCTCACCTGTGTAGCTGTTTATTTATTACTCTCTCACCTGTTTACCTGTTTATTACTCTGACTCTACACTAACACCTCACCTGTTTACCTGTTTATTACACTAACACCTCACCTGTTTACCTGTTTATTACTGAAACTCTACACTAACTCCTCACCTGTTTACCTGTTTATTACTGAAACTCTACACTAACACCTCACCTGTTTACCTGTTTATTACTCTGACTCTACTCTAACACCTCACCTGTTTACCTGTTTATTACTGAAACTCTACACTAACACCTCACCTGTTTACCTGTTTATTACTCTGACTCTACACTAACACCTCACCTGTTTACCTGTTTATTACTCTGACTCTACACTAACACCTCACCTGTTTACCTGTTTATTACACTAACACCTCACCTGTTTACCTGTTTATTACTCTGACTCTACACTAACACCTCACCTGTTTACCTGTTTATTACTCTGTCTCTACACTAACACCTCACCCGTTTACCTGTTTATTACTCTGACTCTACACTAACACCTCACCTGTTTACCTGTTTATTACACTAACACCTCACCTGTTTACCTGTTTATTACTCTGACTCTACACTAACACCTCACCTGTTTACCTGTTTATTACACTAACACCTCACCTGTTTACCTGTTTATTACTCTGACTCTACACTAACACCTCACCTGTTTACCTGTTTATTACTCTAACCCTACACTAACACCTCACCTGTTTACCTGTTTATTACTCTGACTCTACACTAACACCTCACCTGTTTACCTGTTTATTACTCTAACCCTACACTAACACCTCACCTGTTTACCTGTTTATTACTCTGACTCTACACTAACACCTCACCTGTTTACCTGTTTATTACTCTGACTCTACACTAACACCTCACTTGTTTACCTGTTTATTACTCTGACTCTACACTAACACCTCACCTGTTTACCTGTTTATTACACTAACACCTCACCTGTTTACCTGTTTATTACTCTGACTCTACACTAACACCTCACCTGTTTACCTGTTTATTACTCTAACCCTACACTAACACCTCACCTGTTTACCTGTTTATTACTCTGACTCTACACTAACACCTCACCTGTTTACCTGTTTATTACTCTAACCCTACACTAACACCTCACCTGTTTACCTGTTTATTACTCTGACTCTACACTAACACCTCACCTGTTTACCTGTTTATTACTCTAACCCTACACTAACACCTCACCTGTTTACCTGTTTATTACTGAAACTCTACACTAACACCTCACCTGTTTACCTGTTTATTACTCTGTCTGTACTCTAACACCTCACCTGTTTACCTGTTTATTACTCTGACTCTACATTATCACCTCACCTGTTTACCTGTTTATTACTCTAACCCTACACTAACACCTCACCTGTTTACCTGTTTATTACTCTGACTCTACACTAACACCTCACCTGTTTACCTGTTTATTACTCTGACTCTACACTAACACCTCACCTGTTTACCTGTTTATTACACTAACTCTACACTAACACCTCACCTGTTTACCTGTTTATTACACTAACTCTACACTAACACCTCACCTGTTTATTACTCTGACTCTACACTAACACCTCACCTGTTTACCTGTTTATTACTCTAACCCTACACTAACACCTCACCTGTTTATCTGTTTATTACTCTGTCTCTACTCTAACACCTCACCTGTTTACCTGTTTATTACACTAACACCTCACCTGTTTACCTGTTTATTACTCTAACCCTACACTAACACCTCACCTGTTTACCTGTTTATTACTCTAACTCTACACTAACACCTCACCTGTTTACCTGTTTATTACTCTGACTCTACATTATCACCTCACCTGTTTACCTGTTTATTACTCTGACTCTACATTATCACCTCACCTGTTTACCTGTTTATTACTCTGACTCTACACTAACACCTCACCTGTTTACCTGTTTATTACACTAACACCTCACCTGTTTACCTGTTTATTACTCTAACTCTACACTAACACCCCACCTGTTTACCTGTTTATTACTCTGACTCTACACTAACACCTCACCTGTTTACCTGTTTATTACTCTGACTCTACACTAACACCTCACCTGTTTACCTGTTTATTACTCTGACTCTACACTAACACCTCACCTGTTTACCTGTCTATTACTCTGACTCTACACTAACACCTCACCTGTTTACCTGTTTATTACACTAACACCTCACCTGTTTACCTGTTTATTACTCTAACTCTACACTAACACCTCACCTGTTTACCTGTTTATTACACTAACTCTACACTAACACCTCACCTGTTTACCTGTTTATTACACTAACACCTCACCTGTTTACCTGTTTATTACTCTGACTCTACACTAACACCTCACCTGTTTACCTGTTTATTACTCTGACTCTACACTAACACCTCACCTGTTTACCTGTTTATTACTGAAACTCTACACTAACACCTCACCTGTTTACCTGTTTATTACTCTGACTCTACACTAACACCTCACCTGTTTACCTGTTTATTACTCTGACTCTACACTAACACCTCACCTGTTTACCTGTTTATTACTCTGACTCTCACCTGTTTACCTGTTTATTACTCTGTCTCTACTCTAACACCTCACCTGTTTACCTGTTTATTACTCTGACTCTACACTAACACCTCATTTGTTTACCTGTTTATTACACTAACACCTCACCTGTTTACCTGTTTATTACTGAAACTCTACACTAACACCTCACCTGTTTACCTGTTTATTACTCTGTCTGTACTCTAACACCTCACCTGTTTACCTGTTTATTACACTAACACCTCACCTGTTTACCTGTTTATTACTGAAACTCTACACTAACTCCTCACCTGTTTACCTGTTTATTACTGAAACTCTACACTAACACCTCACCTGTTTACCTGTTTATTACTCTGACTCTACTCTAACACCTCACCTGTTTACCTGTTTATTACTGAAACTCTACACTAACACCTCACCTGTTTACCTGTTTATTACTCTGACTCTACACTAACACCTCACCTGTTTACCTGTTTATTACTCTGACTCTACACTAACACCTCACCTGTTTACCTGTTTATTACACTAACACCTCACCTGTTTACCTGTTTATTACTCTGACTCTACACTAACACCTCACTTGTTTACCTGTTTATTACACTAACACCTCACCTGTTTGTTATTATGTGAACAGCTCACCTGTATGTATACTGACCAGCCACTTCATTAAGTCCACCTCCTTGTATCTACACTCACAGTCCATTTGATCAGCTCCACTGACCCGTATAGGAGCACTTTGTAGTTCAGGATTGAGAGCCAAAAATATCCAGCCAACAGCGTCCTGTGGGCAGCGTCCTGTGGGCAGCGTCCTGTGACCACTGATGAAGGATTAGAGGATGACCAACACAAACTGTGCAGCAGCAGATGAGCTATCGTCTCTGACTTTACATCTACAAGGTGGACTGACAAGGTAGGAGTCTCTAATAGAGTGGACAGTGAGTGGACACAGTGTTTAAAAACTCCAGCAGCACTGCTGTGTCTGATCCACTCGTACCAGCGCAACACACACTAACACACCACCACCACTTCAGTGTTACTGCAGTGCTGAGAATGATCCACCACCCAAATAGTGCCTGCTCTGTAAGGGTCTATGGGGGTCCTGACCACTGACGAACAGGGTAAAAGGGGGCTAACAAAGTATGCAGTGGTCAGTGGAGCTGATACAGTGGACAGTGAGTGGAGAAATAAGGAGGTGGTTTTAATGAAGTGGCCGGTCTGTGTATGTTGACATGCCTTTTTAACGGTGTTTCTCCTCGTTCTGTAGTTGTGGTGGTTCCGGCCGTGGTTGCTAGGCGATGCGGTCTGCAAACTCTCCCAGTTTGTGAGCGAATGCTGCACGTTTTCGTCCATCCTCCATATGACGGCGTTGGGGGCAGAGCGTTACCTGGCCGTCTGCTTTCCTCTCAGGGCCCGCCTCCTGGTGACGCGGGGGCGCGTACGAGCGCTCATTGCCGCGTTGTGGGTCGTGGCCCTGCTAAGCTCCGCCCCCGTGCTGGTGCTGGTGGGGGTGGAGAGTGTTGAGGGCGGAGAACCCGAGTGCCGCATTACCCAGTTCGCCCAGGACTCGGGCCTGATGACCGCCATGCTGTGGCTGTGTAACCTGTACTTCATCATCCCCCTCACCCTCCTCTCACTGCTGTACGGCCTGATCGCCCGCACACTGCGCCAGCGCGCACACGCACACCGAGACCACACCCACCGACAGACCCTCAGGATGATGGGTGAGCACAGGGGGTCACTTTTAGGACCCTCGCTCTCTCTTTTTAAGAGTTAATTACAATTACCAGCTGTTGCCAAAGCAATGAAAGGATACCAGCGATAAGACTCAGCATACTGACCTGACTGGAGCCTCGACTCAGACTTGCATTTAACTGTTCAGTGACTCGACTCGGACTCGCAATTAACTGATTTGTGACTCGACTCGGACTCACACTTAGCTGTCTTTTGACTCAGACTCGCACCCAATTTGCGACTCGACTCTAAATCACGCTCGTACTTAACTGACTCTTAACTCAGACTCAAACTTAACTGACTCGTGACTTGACTCAGACTCGCACTGAACTGGCTAACAACTTCACTCGAACTCACACTTAACTGACTCTTGACTCAGACTTGCACTTTACTGACTTGTGACTCAACTCTGGCTTAGATTTAACTGACTCCTGACTTGACTTCAACTCGAACTCGCACTTAACTGACTTAACACTTAAACTCTGACTGGAGTCGTCCTCTTACTTAACTTATTCTTGACAGCTCGGACTAGCATTTTAGTGACTTGTGACTCAAGTCGAACTCACACTTGACTGGCTTGCGACTCAATTTGGGCTCGCACTTTTCTGACTAACTCAACTCAGACTTGTGCTTAACTGACTTGCAACTTGACGCAGACTCACGCTTAACTTACTACCGACTCGACTAGTGCTTAACTGACTCATGGCTTAACTCGGATTCACACTTGGCTAACTCACGCCTCGACTCAGACTTCACTGACTAGTAATCGACTTGAACTCATGCTTAACTGAATCATACTTGTGTCTAACTGACTCCTGACTCAGCTTGGACTTGTACTTAACTGTCTCTTAACTTAGCACTTAATCTTAATTGACTCGCAGTTCAAGTCAGACTTGAGCTTAACTGACTCACGAGTTAACTGACTCTACCTCTCTTTCTCTCTCTCTCTGTAGTGGTGATAGTGTTGGTGTTTGTTCTATGCTGGTTGCCGTTCCATGTGGGCCGGACGCTGTTCTCGCTGACCCCTGACCCCAGCGCTGCTCTGTATTATATCAGTCAGTACTTCAACCTCGTCTCCTTCGTCCTCTTCTACCTGAGCGCTGCTATCAATCCGCTGCTCTACAATGTCCTGTCTGCGCGCTACCGTGCCAACGTCCGCAGCATGCTACATCTCCCACCAGGCCCCGCTGCGGAGCTGCGCCACAGGTCTCACCCTTCCCTTTCCAGCACACATTTTTAACCTGGGCCTGATCGTGGAGATGCATCACAGGGCTCACATGGCTCGCAGGTCCTTCTCCAGCTCAACAAACACTTCTGACCTGAGCCATTGTGCAGAGCTGCACCACAGGTACCACAGCTACCTCTCCAGTTCAGCACAGACTTCTAACCTGGGCCTCACCATGGAGCTGCACCACAGGACCTATAGCTTCAATTTCCAGCCCAGCAAACATTTCTAACCTGGACCTCACTGTGGAGTTAAACTGCAGGGCTCACACTTACTACTCTAGCATACTCTTCCAACTTGGGCCCCATTGCAGAGCTGCATCACGAGACCTTTATTTCCCTTTCCAGCTCAGCAAATACTTCTTACATGGGCCCCACTGAGGTGCTGCACCGCAGGGATCACACCTCCCTGTCTATTACTAATTCTGACATGGGTCCTATTGCGGAGCTGCATCACAGAGCTCACAGCTCCCTCTTTGGAATATACTTCTGCTCTGGGCCCCATTGCGAGGCTGCACCACAGCACCTTCTCCAGCAGACACTCAGCAGACACTTCTGACGTGGGCCCCATTGCAGAGCTGTGTTACAGGGCCTGGGTCCCCATTAAAAATCTGCACTAAAGGGCCCACAACTCCCTCTCCAGCTCAGCAGATACTTCTTACATGGGCCCCACAGTGGAGCTGCACCGCAGGGCTCATTCTTCCCTGTCCAACTTACACGTTTGACCTATGTTTCATCATGGAGCTGAGACACAGGACACACCTCTCTCTGCCTAGCGCACTAATAACATGGGCCCCACTGTGGAGCTGCATCACAAGGTTCACAGCTTCCCATCCAGCCCTGCAAACTCTTCTAACCTGGGCAGAAAGGCAGAGCTGCACCACAGGGCCCACAGCTTCTACACCAGCCCAGCAAACACTTCTGGCCTGGGACGGTTCCCTGTTTAGCCTGGGCCCACTGCAGAGCTGCGTCACAGAGCCCACCCCATTGACTCCAGCACGCACTTCTGACCAGTCTGTGTGTGTGTGTGTCGCAGTCTGAGTGGATTCTGGGAAAAATTTGGCTTCTGCGAGAATCGCTCCAGGAACTGAGTCCCCAGGACGCCCATTAGTGTGTATGTGTGAGACAGAGAGAGTCAGTCACACAGTGACTGCCCGCTGAGACTGTGTGTGTGTGTGTGTGTGTGTGTGTGTGTGTGTGTGTGTGTTGACTTTGCTGAATGAGTTTTTCTTTGTTCTTTTATAACTGTGTATTTATTGTTTTTGTAAAAGTGTATTTACTGTATTTGTAAACACGTGTTTGTCTGTTTTTGCCATGTGGTTTCTTCAGGAGTGCTGGTGTGAGCTGCTGAGTGTCGTTTGGTTGCCGTGGTTACGGTTATTGAGGTCTGTAGGGTTAATTGAATAAAGGCTATCACTGCGGGTTTGGGATATTGGGCCGAGCGCTGCTGACTGTTATTACTGTATCACTCCAGATACGTTCAGAGATCTGAATCTTTCTTCACAGCAGAACCGACGAACCTGGGGAGTTTATTCAGTGTTCTAGATACTTCAGACTGAGAACCGCATCTGAAAGGATCTTGTTCTAACCTGAGTGCTTGTTTTAGAAAAAGCTGTCTTTGGTTTTACTGGTGCACAGCTGGAACAGCTGGATGTAACTGACCCTAATCAGATTTAAAGGAACGGTTTGGCGAACAATCTAATGTACACAATGTTCCATTTTCCCCAGATGTAGTCGATCAGCCGAGACATGTCTGCTCTCCAAATTGTGCTTTATTAGTTTAGCGCTGGAGCTATGAGGCTAACCTTGCTAACACTGGAAGTCAGTAGTCACCCAAATCTTTTCTGTACTTGCATCCCCAAAAATTCCACTGACAACCCCAAAACGTCACTGATTTTCAGAATTCCTGCATAGGTAATGGGTAAGATGTAAACAAAGTCATTCAGAGAGACTTACCGAGTGAGAACTGCTCACAGTGGTGCTGATAGGAACCAGACGTCCACCTCTAAAAGCTCCCTCACAGAAAGTTACTACATGAAATGGTTATGAATTCACTGCCTGATGACTGAGACACTGTTTTATGATAGTTTAGAGAACTTAAACTCCATTCATGGTGGAGGGATACATGCAGGGCGCTGTGAGGCAAAATAGTCCCCAAAGAAAACTTATTATTTCAGATTTTCCACTATTTTCCATCATCAACATTCCATATAAACTCAGAAGACTCGTGTAGGTTCACTGGTGGTTCTGGATAGTAAATAAAATGTCTATATTTGTGTTGTAGTCATGGCGACCCCTGGTTCCTATCACCACCACTGTAAAGACATCTGAACCATTTCACACCAAACCACTCTGAGTCACTCTGATTACATCTCACACACTGAATTGTGGGAGAGGTTTGGAAAAAGTGGTGTAATTCCCATTTAGGCTCAGTACATTTTATTGTCAGGCACAATGGAACGAAACAACTGCACCATTTAAGGTGGAACGGAAAATTCAAATCTGTGCCTTTATGTTCCAAGAGGGCAGATGTTCTAAGAAGTTCAACTGCGGTTCTATGAGCTACTCAGCACTTGAGTAGTTATTTGAGCAGGTAATTTTGTTCCTGTAAGTCAGTGGTCACCAGCCCTCCTCCTGGAGATCTACTTTCCTGCAGAGTTTGGTTTAAAGCTGCCTCCCCTTACCTAACACCAATGATTCTGATCCAGCCAGTCAGGAACTTCTGAAGAAGTGAGTTATCTGGAACAGGTGTGGCAGATCATGGTTCGAAGTACACTGCTCAGGGAGGAAGATCTCCAGGACCACTGAGGTAAATCATCCTTTAGAAAGGAAGTTCTGTGTTTACTGGATGGATCCAGGATGAGGAGAGCTGGAAACAAAGGTATGAACTGGTCTAAGCTGGTTAACTGGTCACTCTCTATCGTCATACTGGTTGACCAGCATATCAGCCTCCAAAACACAACATGTGCTGGTTTTGCTGGTGACCAGCCATGCTGGTCTATGCTGGTTTTTCTAGAATGGTTCTTAGGTAGTTAGTAAACTAATGCTAGCTGCCCACAGAGTGCTGAGCATCTGGTAGATGTTTCACACTTTTCAAAATGTGCAGAAGGTTGTTCTGTTTGTTTTATTTGTTTGTTTGTGGATGAAGAGATTTCCCTTTGTTGCCATGCTGTTTTTGTGTATGAAGCCGCCCCCTACAGGTGAAGGAAAGTACGGCAGCTCCACAGCTTCCCTCCCGTTCCTCATACTGCTGTTACTGAAGGGCCCAAAATTGAATTATTTGAAATAAAATTTTACTGTAGCATAGAAACACAGTGTAAATGTATTTATCCACCTATTCAGCCTTCAGCAGTTTAGCCACGCCCACTAACACTGAGGTCATAAAGAGTGTTTCAGCCAGGACTGTTCTTCGAATGAGGCGCAATCCAGCGCAGCCAGTCAGAACAGAGCTCATTTGCATATATCTGAGTTAAAGGCGCGGTAACAGACACGGCCTGTTTAATTGTAGTGGATAAAAAGAGGTTGGAGGTTCTTTGGAGCGAGATTTAGGCCCCGTAGAACCATTTGTGTAAATGAGATTTGTGCAGAAAAAAAAAACTTTTTAACCCCTAAATAGTCCCTTTATTACCCACTTATATGATCTAAGAATAACTCAGTCAGATTGGATTGTAGTCTGTGGAGATGCTGGATAATAACCCTGGGTTTAAAAGGGTTTAAAGAACCTCCACAAAACCTAAAGACTCTCCACCACTGAAAGGTTTTTCCTAGAACTGTGTGTCCAAACTGAGACCCATTTAGGAACCTTTATGAGAGTGAAACAATAAAATATGGTGAAGCAAATCTGCAAATGTAATTTGAGTAAACTAATGAATTTGGGAGTGGACACTCCACGGCGCCCTCTGCTGTTAGATTTTACACTCTCTTGATTCCTCACACTGCAGCTCTCACCAGCAGCAGAACCTTAGTGAAGTCCTTTTGGGAGAAAAGAGACCTACATCACATTTTCGGCTGAATATGTGTTGAAAACTGTGTAACTGAATCAGTCGACAGTTTTACTTTCATTTTATTTTATTGACTCTCCTCTGACATGAGTCTTCTGAGAAACCAGTGGAAAAAACCTGAATAATAACCCTTACAAAAAGAAGTTTATTCATGTGCTATTAGTAAACGTCTTCTAAACTAAAGGAAGTGAGTGAGCTTTACATTTATGTGTATCAGAAATACACTAAACACAACTATACATAAGTATACTTGGCTTACACTTACAAATATACAGAAAAGGTAAAGTATATTCAGTCCATACTTAATCTTTTGATTGAGACGTACTTGAGAAAAGTATAAGTAAGTATAAAGTAACACTGTGTGAAGTAACAGGGTGGCACAGTGGGTAGCACTGTCACCTCACAGCGAGAAGGCTGTCTTGGTTCGATTCCCCGGCCAGGTGACCAGGGTGTGGAGTTCTCCCTGTGTCTGTGTGGGTTTCCTCCCACAGTCCAAAGACAAACGGTCAGGCCAGTTGTTTTACATATAGGTTTACTTGTGGTAAACTTATATCTAAAAAAATATAAAAAAAAGAAGTACTAAAGTAGTACACTCACAAGTAAACTACTAGTACACTGATATTAGTGTACTTACTACATAAAGTATACTTGGGAAATATACTTGAACTTTACCTAAGTTTACTTAATAAAATGAACTTCAAGTACACTTTTTTTGTACGAGAAGTTTTCTTTGGGGACTATTTTGCCTCACAGCGCCCTGCATGTATCCCTCCACCATGAATGGAGTTTAAGTTCTCTAAACTATCATAAAACAGTGTCTCAGTCATCAGGCAGTGAATTCATAACCATTTACTGTAGGAACTTTCTGTGAGGGAGCTTTTAGAGGTGGACGTCTGGTTCCTATCACCACCACTGTGAACAGTTCTGACTCGGTAAGTTTATCTAGAACAGAGCGTTTCACACCAAACCACTCTGAACCACTCTGTTTACATCTAAACCACTTAACTTTTCTGAAACTGTGAAGTTTTTTGGAATTTTCTGATTTTCATAGAAATTAGGGTTCATGCTGCTGCAACTAGTTGTGTGTAGATTTAAAGACGGGGGAACCCTGATGACCAGGGGTCTCCAGCAGAGGTGTCTGAAGACCAGGCAAATGTACTGGATGTTGAAAAAGTGAGAACGTATTATTTATTGTTTATTACGTTTCTCATTTGTATTTACATTGTTTTAAGTGCATCACAAGAGCTACATAATGCAGAAAGATCACTAAACACAGTGTGTCTGGACGGGTCGTCACCACGGCCTCCACACAGTGGTCAGTAAGCTGGAGCTGCTGGACGTTTTACCCTCAGTAAGTGGTTTGTCAAGTGCGGAGAGGTGCTGGTGTTGTGATGGTAACAGTGCAGGGTCCCGCAGGCTCGGCATGTGTCCCCGAGTTCCAGTTGCGTCAGTGGTCAGTACGGTGGCTTTCACTCTGCCATCCCGCAGCAGCCTCCCCCCTGTGTCCGGCCTGTGGGGGGTCTGCAGGTCAGCACTGAGGAAACACCTCACCTCACACACACACACTCTGTACCCCACACTGAAACACCACCTTCACCTGGACACACAAACGAGTCAGAAACAGGTCAGTTTTAATGTGCAGATCTAAAGAGGCTTGAAAATACAATCAAATACATCTAAACCTATCTAAACAAGTGTGAACTGGTCTATATCAGTTAAAACCAGTCCAAACTAAAGCAAATCAGTTTAAATAAGTCTAAATTAATGTAGACCAGTCTAAATCAAGTCTAAAGTCTAAATCAGTTGAAGACTAAATCAGTGGTTTAAAGTGGTTTAAACTGATCTAAATCAGTTCAAATACATCTAAACCTATTTAAACAAGTGTAAACTCGTCTAAATTAGTTTAAACCCAGTCTAAATACGTCGAAATAACTGTAAACCAGTCTAAATCAGTTGAAATAAGTTTAAACCAGTGTAAACTAAAGCAAATCAGTTTATGTAAATCTAAATGAGTGTAAACCAGTCTAAATTAGTTGAAGAGTTTCAACCAGTCTAAATACATTTAAATCAGTTCAAATACATCTAACCCTAGCTAAACAAGTGTAACCTGATCCAAATCTGTTTAAACTAGTCTAAACTAAAGTAAACCAGTCTAAACAGTGAAATAAGTCTAAATAAGTTTAAACCAGTCTAAACAGTCTAATTAAGTAAACCAGATTAAAAGAGTTTCAATGAGTAAAACCTGTCTAAACAGTTAAGGCCACTAAAGTAAGCCAGCCAAAGCTGCTCTAACTCTGTTCAACAGAATTTAAATCAGTTTAAATCAGTTTAAATTACTCTAAATGAGTTTAAATCACAGTAAATCGTTTCTCATCGGTGTTCCAGGATTTTTCCTGACCTGAGTGCGTGTGTTGTAGAGAGCGTAGGTGCCGGACGGTCAGCTCCAGGATATCAGCCTTCTCCAGTTTAGAGGGACGGCAGCCCTGGACACAGCAGAGTCACAGCGGTCAGTAGAGGACAGTAGAGGTTTACAGACGACTTTCTGTTTTAGTCATTAAACCGGTTTCTTCATCACTTCACTGCAGTGCTGATAAAGTACCTGCTGAAGGAAACGCTGCTTTGTGATTGGCTCTCACCTGTGTGACGTGTGACTGAAGCAGGAGTGTACGGAGCTCCCCGAGGCAGGCGTTGATCCGGGCTCGCCTCCGTCGCTCCAGCAACGGCTTAGAGAGCTAACAACAACAACAAAGAGAAGAGGAGGTGATGAACAAACTACACTAATGCCATCTACAGTGGATCTATATTATATATATTCTGACATCATCATAAAAATGATGCTTACATACAGTCGTGCAAAAGTTTGTGCACCCCTGGTCCAATTCCATGTTGTTGTTGTTTTTCTAAGTGTAAATAAGTTAACACATTCCCTAATCACAGCACACTTCTGCACATTTTAATACACAATTATTGTTTTTTTACTGAATAAAAAAATTAATAAAATGAGGCCTGTGCAAAAGTACATTTTATATTTTATGGTTTTTTTTTCACCAATATGTTAAACTCAAATAAATAGAAATTGAGCAGTAAAATTTATAATAAAAAAATAATAAAATGTCTTAGAGGATTATTGTTAATAATCAATGTTTAACACTGTAACATTAATAAACGTTATTTACATTTAGAAAATCAACAGCAGCACGTAATATGACCAGAGATGTGTATTAAATTACTGTCATTCTATATATCTGTATTATTATTAGTTATATTATTATTATTATATATTATAGTATAATCTTTATTGCTTGGCTACATTACATAACAACATCGTATCTCCAGCATGGTAACTTTACAGCAGATGGAAAAAAGCGTTAAAACATGAATCCAACGAGATTTTTTTCCAATTAATTTTGAACCATTTCTGTTTGTCCACTGATCAGGAAACGTTCACACCAGTGTAAAGTCCAGCTGGAGTGTTCTGGTGCTGTATGGAGCTGATTAGAGTGACGCTGAGCTGAGACTCACCTTGCGCTGGGATTTCTTCTCTGAGTTGACGTTCATGTCGTTTAGAGGTCCGTGGACTGAGTTCTGCTCCTCTGCGTCTCTCCAGCCCATCTGAACACGTTTTAAAGACGAGGCTGAGTGGCGTTAATCACCAAACAATGGTGTCACTCAGAGGTTAACGCTCTCAGAGGAGACACGGTGATGATACCACACAAAACACTCAGTGTGTGGGGTCAGCACTAAGAGTGTGTGCATTATTCATAAGACCAGAGTCGGAGCAACCGAGGAACCCACTCCATTCAGGGATTAGAGCCCCCAAAGCTCCACCTGTCAATCATCTGTGACTGACAGCTGAAGTGTGTGAGGAGCTGAATCATCTCAAGGACAACTTTAACAAATCTGGAGTACAGCTTTATAACCTCAAGTGGAACTTTAACAAATCTGGAGAACAGCTTTATAACCTCAAGTGGAACTTTAACAAATCTGGAGTACAGCTTTATAACCTCAAGTGGAACTTTAACAAATCTGGAGAACAGCTTTATAAACTCAAGTGGAACTTTAACAAATCTGGAGAACAGCTTTATAACCTCAAGTGGAACTTTAACAAATCTGGAGAACAGCTTTATAACCTCAAGTGGAACTTTAACAAATCTGGAGAACAGCTTTATAACCTCAAGTGGAACTTTAACAAATCTGGAGAACAGCTTTATAACCTCAAGTGGAACTTTAACAAATCTGGAGAACAGCTTTATAAACTCAAGTGG